ATGAGTAGGTGCGAGGGGGGGGGGGGGGGGGGGCAATCCTTGACTGCTTGACTGCTCAGCACATGAGGACCAGGAACTGGAGGGTAAGAATAATGGAAAAGATGCATTTATTCTGAGAAAGTTCACCAAAAATTCTATGCCACTTCTCAGTTCAATCCAAGTGCTCTACGGTATGTCAGTCAAACATCCAGATGTTAACATCTCAACATCCACTACCTCCATGGACAGTTTCTTCTGTACAGAGCCCAGGTAGACATACTAATCTCACACAACAGACAGATCACAGACACAGATTCAGAGATCCCCCTCTCCTTCGCCTCGGTGGGTAAAATAGGAGAGTTGCTGTTAGTACACAAACATTGACCTACAGAGTAGCCAAAGGGGCCTCTCTGTTGTTAAAACATGTGCACTGTTTATTTCTCAATGGTAGAGTTTCATTTTGTGAAAACCCGATCTTATTTTCTTTGGTTAACAACAAAGACTATGAACTGCTCTGAGCAGCAAGATTTAATCAAATTTATACAACACACAAGAACAATTCACAACCTGCCGTATATTCTGGCTATAATGTTCTGCACATTCTCAAAGTAATACAAAATACTGCAGAGCACCCCACTGTTTGCCTACTGCTAAAAAGCATTCTTAAGACTATCTCAAATCTAAAGTGCTTCAGTGGGCTCTGGTAATCGCCCTTGCCTCATCAAAAGCAACAGGCATTCCTCCTCCTTTGCCCTGGGTTTCGTGAAGATTTTTCTAAAACGTAACATGTAACGAAGATTTAGCTTAATGAGATCTCAGCAACATCTTTAATTGCCATTGTTTTCAGACTAGAGTTAACACTTCCTTCTCTGTTATCAGATCCCTACCATACGGCTCCAAAAATCCAACACACAACAAACAGATTTCTTAAAATCGCAACACATAGCAGTACTATGCCACCTATGCTAAGAGATCAACAAAATATCCTTGTTTACAAGTTTTCAGTAAGCTTGATGGCCCTAAATAAAAGGGTGCAATGTTTTCTCTAAACATACAAAATCAGATCAATAAGATCAACACAACACCAATGAAGTGCCAATAAAATGCCTTTTCTGGTAGGATACAAGTAGGGCGCTGGAAAAGGCAGACACATGCACATTCATGACAGCATTACACCAGATTGCTGATTAAAACAGTTCCAGGACTGGTCTGAAGGCTGGATTGTTACTCACATGGGGAAGAATGATGAAGTCATTAGGATGGATCTTCTGCATTTTGTAATTATTTTTTGAAAAACTTTTGTTCCCCAGAAAAATCAAGCCTTGTAGACTATCCTGACAAGGTAATCAAGTTACTCCATTCTTTTTCTCTAGAACGCCTGACATAGCCGTTCAACGGTGGCCACAGGTTACTGCAACACAGAAAGTATGTACAGAGCTATATATATGGTTTGGGATGGGACAGAGTTAATTTTCTTTCTAGTAGCTTGCATGCTGCTATATTTTGGATTTGTGATGAAAACAGTGATGATAACACATAGCTATTTTAGTTATTGCTGAGCAGTGCTCGCATAGCATCAAGGCCTTTTCTGCTTCTCACACTGCCCCACCAGAGAGTAGGCTGGGGGTGCACAAGAGGATGGGAGGGGACACAGCCGGGACAGCTGACCCCAACTGACCCAAGGGATATCCCATACCATATAACATCGTGCTCAGCAATAAAACCTGGGGGAAGAAGAAGGAAGGGAAGGACGTTCCGAGTTATGGCATTTGTCTTCCTGAGTAACCGTTAATGCTGACAGAGCCCTGCTTTCCTGGAGATGGCTGAACACCTGCCTGCCCATGGGAAGTGGTGAATGAATTCCTTGTTTTGCTTTGCTTGTGCATAACTGTTGCTTTGCCTATTAAACTGTCTTTATCTCAACGAGTTTTTGCACTTTTACCCTTCTGATTCTCCCTCCCATCCCACTAGGGGGCAGTGAGCGAGTGGCTGTGTGGTGCTTAGTTGCCCACCAGGGTTAAGCCACAAGGAGACATTTCAATTCTTAGCTTAGTTTTCAGAAGTAGTCTGCTGACTGGTACATTGGAGCAAGCAAAGGCTGACATTCAGTCTCACCTCATCAGGTAAGCAAAGATCATTATTCCAGAAGATTGTGATGTTATACTACACCTTCTTAGGAGGCATCATGCTGTTTTAGAAAAGCAAAGGTAGCTTATAATTATTAAATATGAGTATAGCGGATCATGCAACACCCTAGCAAATCTATTTTGAGTTCACTGACTGAGCAAGCACTACTGCAGAGAAATTTCTCAGAGTCTTCAAGTGTCTGAAAGAAGGGGTAGGTTGGGTTTTTTTACCATTTCAAAGGTTAAAAAAAAATCCAAACATGAGATGAGAACACTAGCAGCTCAGATCTTCCTCCCTGTTAAAAGATTTCCTATTGTACTCAGCTATTTTTGGAACTTGCCACTATAATGGAGGATCAGAGACTTCCTAGAATGATAACTAACTATTCTACTTAATGTTTGTCTTCAATAAATCTTAACAGTCGAAGTGTCACCTGTTTGTCCTAACTGGACTTTGGTCATCAAGCAGGAAAGTGTCACTTTTAATTTGTTCTAAGATGGGACATCAATAGCTAAAACTACCAAAAAGTAGAACAATTTTTTTTCTCAGTTAAAGACATGCTACTGACCTTTGCATGCAGATTTCCAAATGTTTCCAAAGACACTACCCATGCAGAAGTGTTTGCCAGCACAGACACCACTGCAAGCTCTGGGCTATGCTCTGGATGCATCCGTTTCCTGATTCTTAATTTTTATAGAAGCCCCATTTCCATAACACCCATGCACCCAAAATGAACATTTTGCCTAACAACATGCTTTTGAGGTGGGGAATTATTATCTCATGTTACAGTTGAGGGAACCAAGACCTGGACTGTGAAACTTGCTCTAGGTTATTCAAGAATCCTATGGATTTTGGAGACTTATGCTGTGTTCCCCCAAGGTCTGACGCTCTTAACAGAGCCATGGCTCCACTTATAGCATCTCCCAATGTTGGGAAGCACGTAATGCACAACTGATAAACATCTAGGAGATCTAAATAGTTTAGATGCATTGCTGAAGTTAGGTATTTTC